ATAATCAAAACTTGTATTAGCATAATAACAACCCTGAGGCACCATAAGATGCTAAAGAAAAAAACAATGTGAAACATCAAAAAAGGACAAAGGACTAAATTATTTCATCGATGTCCTTTGTCTCACTTAAATATTTTAATGTTGATAATCTATTTATGCCATGTGTGGTAATTCATTATAACCCTAAAATGTTGTTAACTAAAATGTCCTATTCTCTAGACCTTCAATAAAACTAAAAATTTTCTCCATTTCTTATATGCCTAAGAAATGCCTAAAATAAAATTGCAAGTACAATAAATAAAATTAAGAAGCTTTCATTTTAAAGATAAAAGTCTATGTCTCCTAAACAAACTAACATCAATTACTAAATTATTCTCCAATTAAAAAATATATACATAATGTATAGATTATTCTTACAAGTGCTTCCTACTTTTCATTTGTCCAAATAACTATAGGAAGGTCTAAGGAAAGGAAATCTATAAAGATTAAATAATGAAGCTGATAAAAACTGCAGGATGAATTCAGTAATCACAGTGAACACTGAAATAGAGACTGGATATACAGTTGTAGAGATTATGAATGTATTCTAATCTGTATGTATTATGGAAGAAGCTATCATTGCTCACAAATTTCTAAATGCATGCAATCCCAATTTCTAATACAGGAATACATGCAGAATCTAGAAACTAAAATCAACATATGTTAAAAAAAAGCAAGTTAAACTCAATATACTTTAAAAAGTGATTTTCTTGATGAATGTTTTATTACAATAATCAAAAAGAAGTAAAGGAATAAATATCAAAGAATATTTGTCCCTTCAGAAAGTTGTTTTGAGATAACCTGTGTATCAAAAGGGTGAATTTGAACAAAATACATTATCACCTTGTCTTTGTTAGTACTATACAAAAGTACTTTTTTCCATTCTAATAAATGTCTCTGATAATGAATGTCCCATAGGAAAACAGTATTATCTGGACATATAATTTAAGACTAGGCAAAGAAAACTAAAGATCAAAATATTTCACCTACTACCAGAAAATTAGGGTAACAAAGATCAAAGAATTGAGACATAGTGAGACCCAAAATTCATATTATAGTACCATGTCATAAGACTGATAAATTAAAAATCAATTCTAATTACAGAGCTCTAATCAATGAACTAAGCATAATAAAATAGCGATTACATGTACCAGATCAAAACAATTCTTTGACAGTCTTCCAACACAAAGAATTGAGCTTCTGAGACCCAGATCACATCCTTTGTGAAGACTTATCCCAATCTCCCTCTCACCCATGTTCCTGGAGACTGCTCTCATTACAGTGCCTATCTTGTGATTTCAGACGTGTCTCTGTTGCACTTCTATTGGAATCCCATGAGTCCTGTTATTTGTTTACCTTAGTATTCCCAAAGCCTTCCACACTGACCACTGAACATAAGGTGATCCATATTATTAACACGAGGTGGAATGAGTGAATGAGCAGTAAGAAGGGAAGTGTCAAAGAAAGGAAACAGGGAGAGACAGAAGCAAAAGTGGTTCAGGGGATTTCAAAAATGTCACATCAGTTAAAGCACCATCTTAATTTTGGAAAACGAATCATGACAAGATGTGGGTACATTTTTGAAAAGATTGGTTAATGTTGCTATATACTGTAGGCTCTCAGATCTCTTTATGAGATCATGCATTCAGGACACACACTTTTTTCCACACACAGCTAACAGGCAAACCTATAGGAAAGTCACTAGAACTTAGGACACTTTTTTTTTTAAAGGTCTTGAAAAAATGAAATTTGATGGTGTGGGACAAAGTCAAGAAATGCCTTGAAAACTAAGCTGAGGAATCTGGATGGTAATTCTAAGGTATCTCCTTAATGATAGGTAAGCAGACAAATGAACTGTAAAAGCAGCACTTCAACCGATGAACCCAAGCACAGTATTCAGGAAAGATTCCAGAAGAGCCGGGAACAGTAATACAGATCTTCAGACAAGAAACAAGATGCATGAGGAAATCCAGTATTTGATTCTTTATGAATTTTTTGAAGAAGGGCTAAGGTTCTTCAGAAAGGAAGACAGTCTGGTTAACAATATTTTTAAACATTTTCATTTTAAGCTACAGATTTTTTTTTTTTTTAAGGAAGAAGAAGCACAGGATTCATTGTTCAGCACAAGTGTAATACATCACAAAAATCAATAACATATCTGAAATGCAAACACATTTCTCCTCACGAAGGTTTAAGACACCATTCCCTAATTAAATAAGCTATGAATATCTTTACAACATCTCTCTCTTCTATAAAGAAGCTACATTTAAACTGGAAGATGCCACAATATTAAACTTTATAAAGCAGAGAAGAACGGTCTAATCCATGAGGACAAACTGACTCCACACAGCAGGAGACGGTTATCTGAGGCTTATCACAGTGCAAAATGGGAGCAGTTAGAAGGGCATCAGATACTGAATGGAAATAGGATTGCCCAAATTAACTCACATCCTTTCAAATTTCCAATCAAAAGGAAGAAAAATTCAGATGGAATGGAGCCCTGTCTCTTTCTCTACACTCAGAATCAGTTGGAAGGTGGAGAAGGAAGCTGAGAAGCCTGCAGACCTCCAAGTAATTTCTCAATCCATCTATCCTCTGGCATTCGCCACCTGCGGCCAATAAGCAGCTGACTTCTTTCTAGTCCGTTCTGTGTGCTTGGTTTGTAATTTTACTTTTAAAAGAATGAATTTTGGGCGCCTGGGTGGCTCAGTTGGTTAAGCGACTGCCTTCGGCTCAGGTCATGATCCTGGAGTCCTGGGATCGAGTCCCGCATCGGGCTCCCTGCTCGGCAGGGAGTCTGCTTCTCCCTCTCCCACTCCCCGTTTGTGTTCCCTCTCTCGCTGTGTCTTTCTCTGTCAAATAAATAAATAAAATCTTTAAAAAAAAAAAAAAGAATGAATTTTGAGGATTATTACTCTACTCGAGGATCCATAGTGAATCCTTACTTTCCTATTCTTCAAATTCCTGTCCCTGGTTTCAGTGCTCTCCAGAATCTGGTCTCACACTGACTCTCATGTGACATGCAAGCATTTCTCCAACCTATGTTCCGATTCCACCAACGGCTCAAAATGACATCTACATTCTGTAAACTCCTATTTAAATCAGGAATCCATGCCACAAGGCTTAACATTTAATTGTTCTACAAAGACTCTTTTTCCTCTCGAATGCAGGAATAATATGACTAGCTTCCTTTTTATTCCCCTCAGTGCCTAGTAATGCAGAGTAGAAATTTCATAAATACATTTGAAAAATGGAGCAGAGTTCTTTTGTAAGGGAATCATCCTTCCAAAAGTCATCTGCTTCATGAACATTAATATCTGCATTCTATATTATATTTTCTTAAGCTGTAAGTGGCATATTAAATGAGAGAAGACTGCTACTCTTATATGCTGCTGGTGAGAAAGTCAACCGGTGCAACTATGGAAAATAACTTGCTCTTAAACTTGTCGAACCAACCATGCACATCCCCTGTGGTTCATCATTTCCATTCTTAGGCCCAGACAAAAGAGAAATGCTTGCATGTCACATGAGATGCTTGCAAGACACATAAGACTAGCACAGCAATACCGCTTACAATAGTAAACAACTTATAAACAATCCAAACAGCAAGCAACACGTAACAAGAGCAACTGAATACGATACAGCAGTGGAAAGGTTAATGTACAGCCACATCCACCAACACGTGATGACACTGACGTAAAGCTCCAAAAATGCAAAGGAAACAACAGATTTATTTAGAAATTTACACAGATGTGGGAATGTTAAACACAGAATTCCAGACATGGTTCCCTCTGAGGGAAGGTAGTGGTAGATATAAATAAAAAAATTTTTAATGTTTTATTTCTTAAGCTGGGGGGGGTGGATACAAGGGCATAATGTCTTTTATAAACATTTAATATTTCCTTAAAAAGGTGAGTGAAAACTGTTCATCTCTGTAATGGTTATTGTAAGTACACTGATCCTTTAAGAAGTCACACACAAAAAAAAAAACTGAGGGAACTTTGGTCTCACAGGTCACTACAGAGAAATGATATCAGGTTGCAGACTAAAATAGGAAGTCTGTGGGCAGGTGTGAACAATAACTACCTTATCTGAAAAACGGGAAGCAATACTGTGTGATGTCAAACATACTCTGAGACAGAAAAACAAGTACTTTCTAGACCAGAGGGCAAGTGAAATTAGACTTTCTAGACTCACTAGGGCAAATGAAACTTTCAGGGCCGTTGCAAGTACACTGCAGGGTAGCTCAGTGGGACTAGTCCACTAGGGTTAGGGTAGGACTTGGTAAGAGGAGCCAGAACAAGATAAATGAATCTGAGGGAAACAAAAGAAAAGTCAGGATTGGAGAGCAAAGCTGATTCTAGAATGATACAGATACAAGATGGAAATTTCAAACAGGTCATCAATCCTCTGATTTAATCAATCGACTTCATTCTTTTTTTAATTTTCCAGTAAATAAAGTTAACTTCATTGTTCCTTCATTTATTTCCAGTGTGGTTCTCCACATTAATTTAATAACCCATCCTAACCTTGACTGCCACTTACTAACTCTAGGCAATACATTTTGTAAAGTCTATTTTCCTGTTGTGAGGCCTATAGCTGCAGCTGAGAGTTACCTGTCCAGTGAGGAGCAAGTGGTGAGAACTCAAATCTGCCTCTTAAAATCTAGAGTTGTAAAAGCTTTTCTAGGATCATTCCAGTCACTACTAAATCTGGGTGAGCAAAACCAGCTAAATTTTTAAAGCCTAGAAGTAATACTAAAACTAAAAACTAATTTCCACTGTGTACTACACTCAATCCAAGCTTTTAAAGTATAATTTTTATTCCTTTCTATTATTTCTTTCTAATTTTTATTCATTCTCAACTTAAGACTGTCATTATCTAATCATTCAGGACATACTTTCCTCTATTATTCATATAGTATAATTTTACATTGATTTACATAAGTAAAATCATCTTACCTGCACTTTTTTTAAAGCTACTGGTACTCCATCCAAGAGACAGGCTGCTCTATAAACTTCACTAAATTGCCCGCGACCAATTTTCTTTTCTATTCGAAAGTTGGCTAATGTATTATAGCCCATATCCGGTCGTAAAGCCTTCTGTAATTAAAAAAGTCAGAATAAGTTTTCAATCACACAATATTCACACAATCATTGATTGTTTTCACATAAGTAGGTGATACCTATGGTAGCCTGCAGACATCTATTCTATTCAACAAATATTATATTGAGCCATTCATGCTAGGCACTGTTCTATATACTGGGAATACAGTGGCAAACTAAACAGATGATAATCCCTACCCTCAAAAGAAAAATTCTGGCAGGGAAGAAAAATAACAAACAGGGTAAACATGAAAAATATATATACAGTATGTGAGATAGGAAGGGCTAAAAATAAAATAAATCAAGGAAGAAGGACATGAAATATCAGGGAATGAGGAAGATTTTGAAATTTTAGATAGGAACTCTATAAAATTATCTTCATAGAATATAAACTTCTCCCACTCAATCTAGTACTCCTTTGATATTTGTTTTCTTTTTCAAAGAATCTTTAACTTGAAATAGAATGTGTGTAAACACACACACACACACACACACACACACTTAGTCCAACCTGCCAACTAATGTATGAAAATCTTCTGAACTTCTTGAGAGTTATTTAACTTCTACAAAGAACATTTCCAGTGGCAGGGAATACACCACCACATCATTATTTTTTTTTAAGACATTTTTTTAGAGCAGTGGGTTCACAGCAAAACTGTGAGGAAGCCCTTGCCCCATATATGCATGGCTTGCCCCATCCCCCACCATAATGGTACTTTTGTTACAATTCATGAACCTACACTGACACATCATTATTACCCAAAGTTCCTAGTTTTACATTAGGGATCACCCTTGGTGTTGTACATTCTATGGCTTTGGACAAATGTATAAATGACATATATCCATCATTATAGGATCATACAGTGTATATTCAGGGCCCTAAAATCCTCTCTGCATCTTCTATTCATCCCTCCCTCCCCAAGTTAACACCCCCCACCCCCCACCTTCCGGGCAGCAACTGATCTTTTTTTACAGTCTCCATAGCTTTGCTTTTTCCAGAATGTCATATAGTGGAAGTCATTCAGTCTGTGGCCTTTTCAGATTAGCTTCTTTCACTTAGTACATACTTACATTTTTTTTAATTTAAAAGATTTTATTTATTTACTTGACAGAAAGAGATCACACAAGAGGGGGGGAGCGGCAGGCAGAGGGAGAAGCAGGCTCCCCGCTGAGGAAGAAGCCCGATGTGGGACTCGATCCCAGGACCCTGGGATCATGACCTGAGCCGAAGGCAGACACTTAATGGACTCAGCCACCCAGGCACCCCCATAATTACATTTTTAAACAATACTTTGCTGTTACTCATGAAAAAAAAAAGTCACTTCTTTTAACTAACACTTTTTAGTACTTACTGTGTAAGAAAAAGAGATGAACCAGAAATGCTGTCTGCTCTGAAAGAGCTTTACCCAAATATATGGAAGAGGCTCTTAACTGCTATGAGAGAAATAATTACAGGGTATTGGGAAGGGAGCACAACTGTCATTCCTATTTTGAGACAAAGCCCAACTCCTTATACATTTTATCCATTCACTAGTCCTTTTGTTTATTTGTTTATTCACGGACTCTTTCAGTCATTAAGTCAGTCACATGGTAAACATTAACTGAATACCCACTACAGTCAGCCACTGTCTGTTGCTGAAGTTACAACACGTACCCAAGAAACACTGCCTTTTAAGCTCCTGAGGACACTCACGATCTATTCCAGCACCTCCACCTATATAACAAACTATAACAAAAGAGTCTAGTGTAGCTATCAAATGCCCTTATATCTTCTCTTTTTTGGCTAAATATGCACAGGCTTTTCGAGGTGCCTGGATTATTGGTAAGGATACGCTTCTAAGTCTTCACCATTCTCTTCACATCCTTCTGGACCTCCTCTATTCTCTGAGCCAACTTGGAGTACACATGACATTCTTGTGGGGTCTGACTAGTGCACCCTCTAATGAGACTGAACATTAAATGCCTATTAATGCAATCAAAGACAGCACTAGTTGGTAAACACACTAAATTGAACTTAAACTCTTAGTCCTTCAAATAAACCTCTGTTAAGACTGATGACCCCATGACTTATGCAGAAGGCTATTTTGACATATGAGTAGTACTCTACATTAACCCCAATATTTTCAATATTGTTGATTTTACTACATCTATCATGCTAGCAAAAACTCTAAAATCTTGCTAAAGTTTCACTGTAATTCAAATACAATGTTTCACAAAAAGAGAAAAAAGTAGCAATGATTTCTGTTGCTGCACACTGATTTTCTTTCTCTGGAAGTCCAAATTATTGTCCAGAAAAATACCATTCTTCCTTTAATACATGCAAAATAACCAGAATATAAGAAATTTCACAAATCCATTTCATAAATATAATACAATAACTGGTATAATAGAATAACAGTAGCAACTACCTTCTATAATAATAGAAGGTTCCATTTTCGTACCTACAACTTAACAATTCCTATATATTAGGACTTTATATGCCATCTAATTCAATTCTGATGACAATCCTATACATGTCATCAAACCAAACCTATGTCTAGTTGATTCCCAAGTATAGCCTTTGCTATCCTACCACGCTTACTAAACAAAATCATCTACAATATGATCCAATATTATGGGATCCTACATGATGATTCATAAATATTTTCAATTTCAGATCTTTTGATTTTAAAAAGCAGAAATAAAAACATGTTAAGAATTAAAACAAAAATATACACCATAATAAGAAAAATTAAATTATCAAATACAGGGAGACAACCAGACATGCTGTTCATTTATAAGATTTCTTTTTGTAGTCACTGAGATTAATTTGTAATTAAGTGCCACTGTGACAACATGGTACCTATTTAAGAAAGGAAACTTAAAGTACCACTTCTTAGATATAGTCAATAGATAGAGGCAACTTTTCTTAGTTTTTTAACTGTAAATAAAAGTTTCATTTAAAGAGGAGAGATTTTTTTTAACTGCTATGCTTTCCTAAGAAATTTTTTCTTTAAATATTGACACACTAGGATAGTCTGCAACATCAAAGAAAGAGAACTCCTTCTTCTGCTATAGATGTACATACCATTTTTTCTCCTGATGAAAATTTACCAATCTCAACAGTAAAATACAACTTCATCATTAGGAACACTATCATACAATCCATATATTTTAAATTTGACTGGGAATTCCATCTTCTGTCTACACAATAACTGACAAATATTAGCGTGAACTGCTAAGACAGTGTGACAACCGCATGCTGAGAGCAAAGTCTCACTAATGTGTTTTGGCATGCAGGTTTGTAATCACACATTTACATATGCAATGACCTACATTTGCATGTCAGATCACACACCGTCTTGGTTTATTAAGACTGGGCACCTCCCTATGCTTGGCGGCCAGAGTGGCGAGAGAGGGCCAGAGGGCGGTGTTTTCTGGCAGTTGAGGGATGAACTGCCACCAAGGATTAGGTTGATATGGCCTGAGCATTAGACACTTCATTAGACGTAATCTGTTTAACAGTGGGCAGTGTATGTAAACTTCACAGCCCATTTGCGGCACCTTTTTCCCCCTATGGCCTTTCTTCAAAGGGCAGTGTGGGTGAGTGACAGCTTGTCTCATCTGCTCCCATGTCCTGTCACCCAGTGTAGACATGGAGAGCTGACATGAGAAGGAGCATAGCTGCACATCTCCAACTACCCCTGGGTCTCTTTGCCACACTGCAATTTGTATAAAAATAAGCTTGTGTAGTAGGAGATCTCCTTTAGGAGATCATCAGACAGGTGATACATATACTTCAGTAATGATTCTATTATATTGTATTCAATGCCATACCTCATTTTCATGAATTATATCCTATTGTAGGTAGCACTGTATTAGGTGCTTTAAATAAAAAGATGATATCATCAAATGAGTGCCCACTCAAGTAAAGAACTATTTTTAGGAAAGAGATATATTCTTTTTTGAATGATGTCCAATTCCCCATATTTTTTTTAAACTTAGCATTTGAATTATATTGGGAATAAATAACCCAGCAAAATAATGAGATTCAAATCAGTATGAAATATGGACCAAATAAAATCACTTAAATTGCTTTTTCCCTGGTTGCAATTTGGTGTATAAACTGCATCTGTCTCCTACAGTCCCTTAATGACCAGGATATTTTTCTGAGCTGCACAAAATGGCTTTTGGATTTGATATGAGTCACTTAAAGGATCTTAAATTTTTATAAAATCAAAAAAACCTCCTCTGTTTCTTCCACTGAAATAAAGATAATAATGCCTTCCCTAAGACAGAGGGCCACGTAATTTTTATACCGAGCCTGGGCCTCATCCACCAGCCAAACCAAGTGTTCCCCAAGTGCGCCATGAGCTTTGGCCTCTCCATGCAAAGCATGTGCTTGTCCCCACGCCTTCTAAATAACTTTGCTCTTCACACCTGGCAAACCACAACTCATCTTTGAGATTCCACTGCCAGCCTTCTAAGGAATCATCTTCGGCTTGTGGGCAGCTCGACCAGCTCATGCCTCTGTGCTTCCGTAGCAACTGACAGCAGGCATTCAAGTCTATACACAGCTGTGCAAACTCAGGCACTGAGCTAGGCTCTGGATCTCACTGGATTTAATTATTTGTTTACATATATGTATTTTTCCCTCCACATAACTGAGTTTCTCAAAGGCAGAAACCAAGTTTTATCTTTGTATCCAGATGCCATGAAGGCAGTTTGACGTGAACTAGATAATAACTATTTACTAAATAAGTGAATGTAACTGAAAGAACTTGAAGTAAAAGGCTTTAAATACATACTGCACGATTATAACTATTGAGAGGCTCTGAGTAGAATCAGGTAGAGAAGCAGTACAGCGCAGTGCAAAAAAACTTCTGTCCCACAAAGCAAGACAATTGTCTCTGCCTCTAACAGTTTCCCAACAGGTGAACTAGAGAATTCCCTTACTCCTCACTATTAAAGGACACTTCGGTAATAATCCACAGTCTGGGTTAGAGTGATACAAGAAG